ATTGGGTTCTCACATTTCTCAAAGGGCACAAAAGTGCCCTCCCCTTACCCAAGGAATCATCTCTCACAAGAGAGTTTTGTACGTCCCCAAATGTCTCGCCTTGCCTCATTGAAGCAATCAATAAACTTCGACAGTTCCTTATTTGTCATCCTCATATTCCAGATATAATCATGGAGTCCCGTGAAGAAATATGCCCTTATTCCTTTTGAGAACCACGTACGAAACTGAACAGACTCTATCCAAAAGGAGTTTCAGTAAAGAAACGTGCTCGCAGGTTCTGTCTTCCATTTCCTTAGGTCGAGAGAAGAATGTTATTTCTCTCAATCGAAGGAAGTAGACATGCAATCCAGCGACACGTGTAGGGCGGGGCCATGAAATATGCAGACCCCCGCAGTACTGGTATTAATAATGAATGCGGCCCTACCATGGAAAAAACCCTAATCGGATTCTGATTTACACCGAAATGCAGCGCCAATATTAACCCCGGTCGCATTTTCCGTCGTAATGCCTGGGTTTCGAAACCCAAAATATCCTCCCTGAATCCTATAGGTCAGGAGACCTATAAGACCCTATAGGATCCTAAAGGATCCTATAGGTTTTTCGTGTTTCAAAAACCTATAGGAATGTCTATAGGTTTCCTATAAGAAATAACTATAGCTTTCCTATAGGACATTTCCGTAAGGGTGGAGTTCCACTTACCATCTCGAATAGGTCTGAGGAAGAAAGCCTCCAAGAAGCATGTGGTTTATGATACGCGCCATCCCGTTAATTCAGGTATGTCCGGATGACATATCTCAACACCCCACCACATCGATCAATCATTGCGAACCATCGCTTCATTCTCAACCTAACTCATGAACTCAACACGAAAATGTCTCATACATTAAAAAACACCTCTACCATGCACCGCCATTCGTCTCCTTTAGTCCATGTTTACCCTTGAACCTTCACTCGAAGTTTGTTTGGCTTTATGCCTTAGACTTGCTATAACATATATTGACTGTGATGATGCAAGGGCGGCGTAACGTAATCGCTTTCGTAGGTCTAGCAATCTCAGCAAAGGTAGGCCTGGAAGTTAGAGGCTCACTCAAGAAACTGGAGACTCGTCCACATGAAAGAAGAGTTCAGACATGACGTTACCAGCCCTATGATACTTACCCCAGAATTATTAGGCCTCTAGTAACATGACTGCCTCCCATCATGTTCACGACTGCGAGAAAACTGGGAGGGGAAATTATGAAAATCCCATTGTAGTGAATGGAGAAGTGCCACCATGGACCAAGCAAAGATGGCTTCCAATTGCAGCAAATCCACTCTATTGTGCGCCGTCCCCAGTTCTTTTTCTTAGCTCAGTGGACCGGAGCAAGTTCTCTAAGCCTAATTGAACGACAGCTCATTTGACATTTCATGGCGAAATGGTGCATCACAAACAACCAAAAGGCCACTTTTCGTCATGTACGAGTCAATATCCTTCAAATGGTTGGTCTCATTTCTCCGGCAACCCCCCAGGAGTGGCTACCCAAAGGAGGGGGGGGGGGAGGAAGAGAATAAACGGAATGGCATTCACATGTACCAAAAACCACCCAAGCAGCATGTTTGCGTAAACAAGATATGAATTATTTTGCAATGTCAATTTCTTGCGATTGTTATACAAATGACATCACGTTCATGCAAAATATACATTCCTCCATTTACAATACATTAAGGGGATGTGTATTTCATATAAACTAGACAAGACTTCACCTAATATAAAGTACATGACATGAAGTTTATGCAAAATGAACACCACAACATTCATATGAAACTTTAACTAATTCTAGAATGTCTCCAGTACGAAGAGTACGAACAGTACTAGATGAAACCCATGTTCCCTTCAACCAACAAATGGAATTAAGTACCTACTTCCCTGAAATAGTATCAGGTCTTTCTCCCCTCTTTCCTCTTTTCATTGTGCAACTTATAAACATACGAGGGTCACTCAATAAGTTATCTACCTGAATAAGAAAGAAACATCCGAGGGGAAAAATAACACTTTATTTTTCAATGTAGTCACCTTTTAACTCAACACACTTATTCCACTTTGATTCCAAGGATTTTATTCCCTGGGAATAGAAGTCAACTTCTTGTCCATCAAACCAATCAGAAACGGCAACTTTCAGCTCTTCATNTATAGAGTTCCCTATAGAACCTATAGATCCCCCTATAGAACCTATAGATCCCTCTATAAAACCTATAGATCCCCCTATAGAACCAATAGGGTTCCCTATAGAACCAATAGGGCTCCCCATAAAGCCTATAGGCTCCCTATAGGACCCAAAGGGTTCTGTATAGGACCCGTATTGTTCCCTATAAAACCTATAGGGTTCCCTATAGGACCTGTAGGGTTCGCTATAGCACCTATAGGATTCTCTATAGGACCTATAGGGTTCCCTATAGGGTCTATAGGGTTCCCTATAGTGCCTATACGGAACCCTATAGGACCTATAGGACCTATAGGGTTCCCTATAGGGCTTATACGGAACCCTATAGGCCTATAGGGTTCCGTTTGAAGTTCTCCTCTAGGCCACTAGATGGAAGTATTGGGTTCTCACATTTCTCAAAGGGCACAAAAGTGCCCTCCCCTTACCCAAGGAATCATCTCTCACAAGAGAGTTTTGTACGTCCCCAAATGTCTCGCCTTGCCTCATTGAAGCAATCAATAAACTTCGACAGTTCCTTATTTGTCATTCTCATATTCCAGATATAATCATGGAGTCCCGTGAAGAAATATGCCCTTATTCCTTTTGAGAACCACGTACGAAACTGAACAGACTCTATCCAAAAGGAGTTTTAGTAAAGAAACGTGTTCGCAGGTTCTGTCTTCCATTTCCTTAGGTCGAGAGAAGAATGTTATTTCTCTCAATCGAAGGAAGTGGACATGCAATCCAGCGGCACGTGTAGGGCGGGGCTATGAAATATGCAGACCCCCGCAGTACTGGTATTAATAATGAATGCGTTCCTACCATAGGAAAAACCCTAATCGGATTCTGATTTACACCGAAATGCAGCGCCAATACTAACCCCGGTCGCATTTTCCGTCGTAATGCCTGGGTTTCGAAACCCAAAATATCCTCCCTGAATCCTATAGGTCACCCTACCATGGAAAAACCCCTAATCGTTTTTTTTTTTTTACACCGAAATGCTGCGCCAATATTAACCCCTGTCGCCTTTTCCGTCGTAATGCCTGGGTTTCGAAACCCAAAATATCCTCCCTGAATCCTATAGGTCAGGAGACCTATAAGACCCTATAGGTTTTTCGTGTTTCAAAAACCTATAGGAATGTCTATAGGTTTCCTATAAGAAATAACTATAGGTTTCCTATAGGACATTTCCGTAAGGGTTATCACTCCATCGCGTCCTGTTTCGTGTGCTCGCGCACCATTCCCTCGACAGACCTTTCCATCCCTCATTATGTATTTCAAAGTATTCTAGGGGTTCTCTCTCCCTTTCTCGTTTTATGAAGGTGAGATTCTGCATAGGGTTTGAAATGTGTTCTTCGCGGATTTTTCCAATTAATATTTTGGATTTAGGTGAGAACGCCCGCACGATTTCGATGCTCTGGGTGAAGCAGTGCGTGCCGAGTCTCAAACTCTTCTTTTCCAAACGGGGTCACGAAGTCATCCCGTTCTTCATTTCCCTTTTATCGAGCAGAGCAATTAAAATGAACTCAGTTTTACGTTTGGAATTAAACCTAGAATTTCTGTTACACGAAGAGATGAGAATTATGGGAGTTTCGGGGGCAAGTGGGCGGGGGAAGAGAGTGAGAGAGCCCAGAGCGTGAACCCTCTACATTTCGCGCCACATGTTGAATTTGTGCGATTCTTCAAGGAATCGCGAATGCTTAAAGCATGCAATTTTCTCCTCGTTTACATCAAGCCTTCATTCTTGCTTTCATCGTTCGCCTCAAATTAAAATCATTTGTCTAGAATCCCCATTGGGTCACGCGGGAAACGTTGGAATGACGGCGTCGTGGAACGAAGAATCTCATCACGAGCTCTCATTTATATTTGTTTCCTTCATCCTTGGACTCGAGTTCGGAATGATATCCGGAGTAGAACGAGGGGATTTCACATGACGCAAACCTATTCCACCTTCCACATTTTCCGCATTTTACATCAAAATGTGTTTCTTTGCTGCCGACAGGATTTTCTTTTTTCAAAATAAAGGCGAAGATTAATGTGCTGCAAAGATAATCATTTTTTCCGGGAGATGAACTATCGAGCCGATGAAATGTCCTCACGTATATTGCATCGGTTGGATGAATCCAAACTGAAACCCTTACAAATAACCTCAATGAAATCGGGAAATGATGGTGGATGATATTCGTCGGACTACTGGCACGCCATCGGTCGATTAAGTGGAGCACTACATAGAAACAGTTGATTAGAATCCATCACCAACTGAAATGACTCCTCACTTTTTCCATGGTGTTCTTGCGAAAATTCGCGGATAAGAAGACGAGTAATTTGCGACTGTGAGTCGTCCCAAATACGAAGTGCCCACTACCTTTTTCTTCGAGATCATTACGATCGGAACATCGATGACCTCAGTCAGCAAAATAATTTACCTTAGGTTGGCTCTTCATGCCTTTCCTTTTTCCCGTCCAACAGACGTGAGGATTCTGGAGGGATGCTGGGATGTGAGCTTCCCCCACCTCTTCCGTCATGTCCTCTCCCATGAATTCCCCAGTCGCCTGAGGGTGAAGCCGGGAACCCTGAACACTCGGCCGCAGCCTTCTTCCCTCGTTTTCGGTGTTCCACCCACCCTTCTCACCCCTCCTCTTGGATTGCACTATCATGGGGGATTCAAATGCATCGGTGGTCGAGGGAGAGGATGCATCGCCATCACCGCCGCTGCCGCATTTCACTCCCGATCTCACGTATGTTCCACCCGTCTTTTGCTTAACTATCTCGTGAGACCGCGCCGAAGTTAAGCCTCCCGATCCGGGGAAGTGAGTCACGGCACGTGTAGCTGTCCGAACGACGGGAGGCATCCAAGCCTCGTCCTATGACTTTAAAACTTCACTCGATATTCCTAGAACGCATTAACCACTCCTATGCCACATTTTAGGGATAAACTCTTGAGTTTCTTCTTTATATTGCGCAGTATCACCCCCCTTTGGCCCCTTGCATCGAGTCATTTCACGAGTTTTCTGTCCCACGAATCACGATGGGCCCTTGGAGAACTGAACCGATTTCAAGATTCAGTTTTACTGTGTTCGTCAGGAATTTCTCTCATATCGCTGAAATACGTATGGATTTTGCATTATCGATGACGAGTAGAATGCCACAAATATTCAGTTGATACGAATCGACGATGGGCAAAGAATTTTTGGAAAAGTGATTTCTCCTTCGAGCAGACTGTCATTCTTTTCAAAAGGGAAATTTTGTGGTGCTCGTCTCGGACGAAGAGATTCGGGGAATCTTCACGGATGCTTTCGGAATGATTGGTTCGAAAGATGGGTCGACGACGAGGGAAGCACCACAGATCTATCGAGTGGAGGATTACCGAGGATGCGAGAACTCCGGCGTGATGTGCGTGGGGGTCGAGGACGCATGGATGGTGGAGGGGATCTCCCGAGCCATCCAGACCCTCTATATTGTCGACGGGGGAACTTCTGCTGCAGCACGGAGTCGAATGGGCCTCTGGATGGAGATGGAAAGAAGAGGCCTTCTTCTTCATCGCCCATTAACATCTTCCAATGCCCTTGACTCCCTCTCTGGTGACGATTGGAAAGCATTAAATCAAAGAAGCCTCTTTCTAAAGGTGCCATTTCAAGTCTCATGGTCATTGTTACCTCCATCCCCAGGTTTAAGCCATTCATCTCAAGTGGTCCAAAAGTGTTTGCGGTACCGACTGGGATTTTGCCCTTTAAAAGCATGTGCTCGAATGGTTTTGAGAAACTGATGAAATTCAAAAGTGCAGCGATCTAGGTCAAACGGCGTTTGAAATTTAACTCTGGAACGTTTGGGAGGGGATGGTAAAATCACCACTCGAAGAAATTCAAAATCTCCCCGATAACTCGATGTTGAAAGCCCTTTTAATAGCTCATTTTAATGCGAGTATCCAGGCAATTATAGCCTATCTTTGATTTTACCTGTCTCAACTTGTAAACATTTGCAAATTTATTAAATTTCTGAAAACGTCAAAATTTTCTACCCAACAATTTTATGAAAATGCTTGTAACCAGATAAGATTTCGAGCGTCCTTCATACTACGTACTCTATGTAGTCCAAAGGAACATATTTTGGTTTGGAATTTTTAAAAAATCCTGCTATGCTTTCGTAGAGTAGTGGATTTTGCTATGTTCGTCCAACTTTCACTCTCAATAACTTTTCTTCGGTTCAAAGTACATGTATGCTTCTTCCATATAATGATACATTTGTGAAAGTTCTTTTGAGACATTATAGTTTCATTGTGGTGCTCCGAAAGCCAAAACGATTATAATTTTTTTCTTTAATCTTGAGTGAGATTTACCATCAAGAGCATAAACACTCTAGTTTTTGGCAACTTAAGTCCATCGCAGAGTTTGCAACGGCTCCTCTGAATTTGAAGCAAACCGTAGCAATGATTCTGCTTCAGTAATAAGGAGAGAAGATGGAAATACTCCAGTGATATTCATATTCCTTCATTTCGGAAGTGCATGAAGAAAATGAACGAAATTGAAAAATGCGACGAAAAACCCATTTCTTGGCCACTTCCCACCAGTGTTTTATAGTTCGAATCCAGTTATTTGCTACAAGCATTTCTTAAATGAAACATGAATCTTCTTTACAATTTTGGGAAAACGAAGCGTAATTGAGTAATTCGGTCTCCTTCATCGGAGGATAGGCTCACGTCATCTTCATTTAAATTCCATCTCCTGCGTAATGTCTCCTTGCAAGTATGACTGTGCTTTCTCCTAGACCAGTTTCTACTTTTTGGGTCGTCCCGAACCCCTAGCACTCCTGATCTGGGCATCGTTATCTGCTGCAATGAGTTTTTATGGTGAAAGTCGATTCCGTTGTCAAATCCGTCATTTTTGGCAGTCGCGAGATCAGCAATGGCTGAAAGTTCACTTCCTCCACTCTCCATTTCGTACTTTCTCTACTTCTCATTAGGCATTTTTTGTTCCTTTTCTTGTTTACGCTTAATTTCTCAGCTCACTTTTCCTCTCCGACCTTCCTCTCTTCCTTTTCGTATAGCAAACATTTCTTATGTCTTTCTCTCTCCCTCAGGCCCGAAGAGAAGTGGGTGGAGGGGGTTCAAAAGGGACAACCATCTGATATCTCATACTCTCCCATACGTAGAACTGCTGAGGAATCGCCCCCAATGCAGCCAAATTCTTTCATCAATGCTGTCAGCATGGCTAATTGATTCAGCAAATCCTTACCTGAAAATTATGAAATTGAAAGTTGTTATGAGTATCAAAGACACGACAAAGCTGGTGAAGTTACAATATATTCAATGAATTTTGTAGGGGTTGAAAATGAGATGATTTCAGAATTTAAATAAAATTGTAACTTTTTTCGTGTTGAGGCACAGGAACACTCAAGGAAAAAGTTATAAAATGCCTGGATACTCACTTTAAAATGAACTGAAGCTTTCAACTCGAGTCATTCGGGAGATATTGAATTTCTTTGAGGAGTGATTTTACCATCCCCCCCTGAACTTTCAAGAGTTATATCTCAAACACAGTTTGACCTAGATCACTGTAATTTTTGAATTTTGATCAGTTTCTCAAAACCTCTGGTGCATATGATTTTTAACAGCAAAATCCCAGTCGGTGCAGCAACAAACCTCTGGAAAATTGTACCACTTGACATGGAATGACTCACGTGTTGTGTTGTTGTGTAATCTCATGGAAACATGTGAATGGATCTCTCATGCGTTCCTCTATGCAGATCCCTAAGGATACGGAGATAGAAGATGATGCTGGGAAGGATACGTCTTCTCCGGAAGGTAATTAAAAACCATCAGCCACAGTCTCACATCATTATCATTTCTAGTGGAAATTCAATGGAAGGAAACAAATGGTGAAGAATGAAACGAGCCCACCTCATTCTTCATTTAATCGCTGCCTCTATGGAGACATACAGTTCGTTGTGGCCAAAACTCGCGAGTCAGTTTCGCCATAGACACAGATCTCATATAAACGACGAGGCATGAGCTTGCAGACAAGTGTTAAAACAAGATGAAAATATCATAAGGAAATAACGGGGTATTTCATGTTTCTTATAAACTGGTAATTGGATACGGAACGGTGGAAATGTGTCTTTCTCGTTTTCGAGTTTTTTTCTTAGGAAGTTTAGTCTAAATGAGGTAGGAATAACTGCACTTATCAGGGTATTGAGTTTGAATCATTGGTTAAGGAATTAGAAAAACCCCCGCGGTTTTTGATTTTGCGGCTTCCTATCGTAACAGCAGAGTAAAGATGTTGGTATTCCATGCCATCCAAAATTCACTCGAAAGAAGAGAATGGATGTAAGCTTGAAGTGTCCACTCAATACCAAAGGCAGCATTCATCTGCATGCACCACTTCCTGAAGGACTGCTATGATTCAGCTTAAATTAGTTAAAACAATTAAAAAGATGTAACAAAGGGTGATGGACCCCTGAATTAGCAATTAAACAGAATATCGGACAGACATGATTCCTAAGGTTACACAAAAGTTATGTTGCAAAAGGAAAAAATTGCCCGAGTAAAGGACTTGGCTTTTACTTTGGGATTATGCTATTGCCGAGAAAAACTTGCAAGGCGAGGTAGCATTCGTTCTTGGCGAAGCATTCAATCGGAAATCCCTCAAACTCTTCCCGCCATCTCCTGGAAGGTTTCTTTACTCGGATTCCGTTTCCCATGCAGGTGCAACAAAGATTTTTGCTTTGGGGAAAGACAAGAAGGCGCAAGTGGGGATGTGGGAACTCCCCAAGAACACTCTCTGGGTCCAGGAAGAACATTCCTTATCAGACGTATTCCTTGCCCAATCCTCCATGCTGATCCACGGGACAGGAGGGGAAGTCCGGATTCTTTATCTAGAGGGGAAGGATCCCCATGAGACACCTTATGGATGGAACCACAAACTCCAGAACCCCCCCGAATTTATCGTGGAAGGTACTACAGGGGTGGGGATCCGGGACTCCCTTTTTCTCTTGGGAGGGAAGAGAAACCCCCGTTCAGGACACCAACTGGATCTCCACAGCGATACCTGGATGGAACTCCCTCTGATGACTCAGGGGAGAGAGGACGCAGCTTCAGTGATGTTGGACGCCCATACCATCCTCGTCTTGGGGGGTGTGGACCCTGAAAAAGTAAAAACCCTCTCCAGCTGTGTGTGTTTGGACGTGAGAACAAAGCTGTGGATCCCCTTTCCGTCAGAAATCCCCCTTCCTATCAGCAGCCACGCAGTGACTCTTTACGATGATCATGTATACATCTCGGGCGGATTCAGAGATGATGCATCTTGTCGGGAGGTGTGGAAGTGTGGGGTGAAGGGGGGAGGGCCATGGGAAACTCTTCCCTCTTTACAATTGGACAGACATGATCATGGGATGATGGGAGACGGCGCAGGGAGATTTCAAGTCATCGGGGGGAAACATCAAAATGGATCAAAGTATATGGATGTCCTTTCGACGGAGACTCTGACCTTGGACGGAGGAAGAGGATGGGAGACCAAACACGAACTTCCCTTCATGAATGTTTGGAAGGCTTGTGCGATGAATTGAGTGGGACCCCCTTTCCCCTCATTCCGGGTTCATTTAAACTCACATGGAGGAATCTCGGGCAAGGAGGAGGGAAAGACGGAGTTCTGTTTACGAGATACCTTTTCCATCTAAGTCTTCTTTCCAGTCCTGTTCTTTTCCTCCCAAATCCAGATTGAGGGTGAGGTACGATGAGAGGTCGCCCATATAAGCGCTCCGAACAACGGATTCGGTTGAAAACCAACATGTGGAACTGATTTGTGCATTGGAGGAGTCCAATCCGCAATGCAATTGTGGTTACTGATTGACCATTATCTTGGGAGAAACGGACACAAGTATACATGCCCGAAAATAGCATCAGATCAGCACGGGAAACATGGCGGAAAAAAAAACTTTCAGCACACCCTGGAACGTTTTTCTACCCCCACGACTTTTAGGATGGAGATGTTATCTATGAATAGTTGGCTTTAGAAAATTACAAGTTTTGCATGAGCAAAACGATACTATTCAACGCAAACAGATAGTGCGAGATTACGCTCACACTAGTACTTCCATAATAATGCTGCATTTAACGCCTAAACGAACATGCGCACTGCATGCTCGTTTAGGCTTCATGGGTCAAAAAGTTCATGCTTACTGCATTGGCACATTCATTCGGAAGAATACCTTCGATAATCATTCAAGAAAGCTACCTTTATAGAGTTTTTTCCCCGATCAGCGAGCAATTTTCATTCAAGCTTCTAATAAAGCTGATATTTATTTCCCAGAAGCAGGATCATTGATCTTGGTCCTATGAAGAGCAGCAGGACCTGTTTCACCCCGCTCCCTTCCATCCTCAAGCATCGCTTTGTCATCATCCACTGGGCCATAATCACGCTTGAGTTTGTCCCTACTACTCAAACGAGACACGCCGAATGCATTTCCCACTCCCAAGTATCAGATGTAGAATGTGCGATGCTTCCCGTAATTAGAGACCGCAATTTGCCTCATGAAAAAGCCACACTTCTATATATTCTCAGGGTGTCCCAAAATTAAATCCCAAAAGTAAATGCGTGTCATTCAAGCATCGTTTAACGAAAATCCACAAAATTTGACATAGGAATTGACATGGAATAGGGATTTTGACATACAATTTTAGTGTGGAATGTTTTATTATTCTCAGTTGAAGGTGAATAGATTTGTTAGAAATTTATAGTAAATGTAAGTTTTTCGACATCGCAATTGTTTAATCTGCAGGCGAAGCGCGTTTGAATCATGGTTCTCGTGAATTCTTTGACAGTTTAGGTGACAAATTGAGCAAGCAAACCTGTAGAATCTGGGGTCAAAGAGAATCCGTTCGAAATTCAATTTCCCCTTCATTCTCCCTGACTCACTGTCTGGTGCGGGATGTAGAGCGAAGGTCTGATTGGTCCGTTCATCTTCTAAGGAAACGTGACCAAAGACTCTTACCTCGACCTCCCGAAGAAGTTCCTGTGGCCCCACGTCTGCCATCTCCCGGAGATCGACGAAATCGTATTCCAACAAGACGGCGCACCCCCACATTTCTCCAAAGAGGTGCGGGGCTGGCTGGACGAGAGCCTTCCTCAGCGCTGGATCGGAAGACGTGGACGGATCACCAGGCCCCCGAGAATCCCAGAGATGTCCCTCTGAGACTTCGCATTGTGGGGGCATTTGAAGCAGCTGGTATACCGAGAGTCCCACAAGGATTTGAACTCGCTCCAGAAGGCCACTGGAGCAGCTGGCAAGTAAAATTTGATTATACTCCCCGCATACTAGCCACTTTTTCTGGAGTCCCGTCAAACGATGCTTGAAGGGTGTGCGTTTACTTTTGGGGCTTTAATTTTGGGACACCCTGTATACGAGTATTATGCTTGGGCGTCAATATAACCACAGACGCCGTGTGCGCATGAGCGGCGCCTTTTCCCACTCAGGTCAGGCACTCCAAGTGTGTCTCGCTCTCTCGATCTCAAAATCTTTTTCTGGCTGCTGTGGCTGTCGGATCTAGTCTCGAGAACGTCATAGCTCAAGTGGGAATTGGGGGGGGATAGCATATGGCATAAGATGACGAAAAAGAGATAGAACGAATGGTAATTGAACCCAGGGCCTCTAAGTTGACGGCCTGATATTCTTCCACTACACCACCGAACACACGAAACTGCAATTTCTTCTCCATGTCATCCCTACTACTACAAAGGGAGGGTGAAGCATTCTACGCACACCCGCTCTCGATACGGACCCGGGATCCTATACGAACTTTTCCTCATAGACGTGTATAACGTCCCCGCGTATTGCACTTGGAGACCCCTTTCATCCCTGGAAGAAGGATGACTTCCTCGCCGGGATGAGATCTCCGTCCATATATTCATCGGGATACCGACCCCTCGGAACTCCGTCCTCTTATCGATCGGCACTCTCACAAGGAAAGTGACTCCCGCGGGTGAAAACGACGGGATCCCACCAGGAGCGCTTACCCATATGTTTTTACCGTCGTGCCCAGGACGCCTCAATGATTATGACTTACTTGTCTAATGTCTGGAGAAGCCAAATTATCTAGTCCATCATTGTAGGTCCAGCACAGGTTGGCGACTGCCAAACTGCTGTTTGTGCTGGCCTTGCCGTGTTTTCCGGCTTTGTTGGTGCCCCTCGACGTCTTGTCGGAGTCGGCATCATCCACTCCACATCCTCCACGGGCCCCTTTCGACGGCGTATCTCGGTGCAGGTCTCAGTGGAATAGGTAAATCGTCATAACGAGGCGGTACGGGTGGTGGCAATGCCTTGCCTCCTTCATCCTCTGTATCCTCCTCTTCAGCCTCTGAAGGAATCTGTTCCTCCTTAACTTCAGAAAGGTGGATTGGTGTTCCTCCAGGTTCATCCCTGGATGTTTCCTCTGCTTTCTGTCCTCCCTCCTCTTCATCAACCTCATGAATCTCCTTGTCCCTTTCACGCGGGAACAGCGGTGCATATTGTTTTTCCTCTTCCTCATATGTTACCTCCTCATAACCGTATCCGGCAGCGAAGAACCTCTTCATTCGGTTTACACGCAATAATTCAAAATTAGTTGAACCGACCTTAGAGACTTCAGAGTTGACCGGGCCGACCTCTTTCAGTACTCGGTAAGGACCTACCAATCTTTCTGCTAATTTTGTCACCCTCCCCGTTTCACCTGAGGGAAATGGATCAGCACCATATCCCCAACTCTGATGTTTGTGGAAACTGCACTTTGATCATAGTAGTGTTTTCTTTTCTCGGCTGCCCTTAGCAAATTTTTGCCTAGCCTGCGAAAATGCTTCGTGGAGCCGAGCTGCCATCTCTTTCCTTATAGTTTTCTGCTATTGCATAACTAACCCGTTGAGGTTTTATCACATCATTAAAAGGAAGGTTTGCGTCCCTTCCAAGCATTAGATAGTAAGGACTTTCTCCTGTACTCTCCTGTGGGGCATTCCTGTACCCAAACACCACAAATGAAACAAACTCATCCCAGTCTCGTTGATCCTCCGTATAAAGAGATGTCATATCCGCTAGGGTTCTGTTGAACCTTTCAACGAGAGCATTTCCTTCAGGATGATACGGAGTTGTTGATAGCTTCCTTATCCCAAAGTACTCATAGACTGACCTCATCATTTTTTACAGGAAATTTGATCCGCAATCAATCAGTCAGCAATTTAGTTGGAACCCCATGTTTTAACAAGATCTGAGTTACGAATGCACGTGCGATGGTTTCCGCCTTTTGATCTATCAAGGGGATTGCCTCAACCCAACGCGTGAAATAGTCTGTGAACATGAGAAGGTATCGGTTTCCATTGATTGTCGTGGGCAAAGGCCCGAGAATATCCATGGAAACCATTTCAAAGGGTCTTTGGCCCCCGTGTTAGGCTGTAATGGGGCTACCTTCTTTCCCATGGGTCTCTTTCTTTCCTGACATGACCGACATCTCTTGATGTAGAAACCTACATCCTTGGCCATGCCTGCCCAATAGAATCTTACTTGTAAACGGCCTAATGTCTTGTTGACCCCAAGATGACCCGAAATTGGAGGTTCATGGTTCAATCTTATCACATACCTAACCATGCTGGCGGGAACAACTAATTGTTCCAATAGTCTACCATTTAGGTTGGTGGTGATTCGATAAAGGAGTCCCTCGGGCATCCTATATTCCTCTGCAAACATATTTTCCCCCTCCGCGATCTGATCAGTCTCCAATTTGTCGATTACGTTCTTCAATTTAGGATCCTGTCTTTGTTTTTCACTGATTCTTTGTTGATCGAACCAAGGTGTGATTAACAGGGAATCCTCATGTTCATCTTCCTCGTTGTCGGAAGATTTCTTAATTGCTCCGATGTAATGGGCCTCATCTCTTTCCAAAGTTGATTTCTCCCCTCCTTGTATCCGTATTCGCGACAGGGCGTCGACGTTCGAGTTCTTTTTCCCTGGACGATGTACAACATCATATTAATAGTCATGAAGGAGAATTGACTAACGTGCTAATCTAGAGGAAGGATCCTTGAGAGACATGAGCCATCGTAGTGGCCTGTGGTCCGTAATTAGTGTGAATTTTCTGCCATACGAATAGGGTCTATACGTTCGTAAGGCATGCACAACGGACAAGAGCTCTTTCTCTATGGTTGAATAATTTTGTTCCGCCTTGTTTAACTGGCGACTGTTATATGCTACAGGAAACTCATTCCCATTGTGCAAATGAGCAAGCACACTCCCTACTCCAACATCTGATGCGTTTGTCGCTACTATGAAGGGCCTTGAAAAATCCGGATATTTAAGAATGGGCCCCTTTTGAAGTGCTTGTTTTAGCACTTGGAAAGCTTCTTCTGCTTCCGGGCTTCAAACAAAATCCACCCCTTTCTTTTGGAGCAGGGTGAGAGGTTTTGCCTTATTCGAATAGCCGTCAATAAAACGGCGATAAAACCCTGTCACCCCCAAAAAGAATCTCACATCCTTCACGTTCCTAGGTCTTGGGTAGTCCTGAATGGCTCTGTTTTTCTGGGTCCATAGCTACCCCTTGTACCCCTTCCACCCCAGGGGCGGAATCGGGCCGGAATAGCGCCATAGTAACTAATAAATCGCTACGCCCCGCCCTCCAAAAAAAAAGAAGTTAACTCTTCCCTTAGGAGGAATTTTTAGCAAGAACTCCAAATTTTTTCTGGCAATGCTCACCGGAAGCATAAGGCCAAGGAAAAGAATTTCAGTGATTTCTTTAGGCATTGTGTCTGGTGTGAGGGCCATGTACTTTTCCTATTGCATTAAGGCGACTTTACCTCATTTTGGAATTTGTCTCCTATAAACTTGAAGACGTCCCTAGACACCTAAATGCTAAGAAAAAAAAACAGAAGAATTGAATCTCGTATGAAATCCATGCAGACAGAATGTGACTTGGATAGCCGTGCATTCTTCTGTTTGGTCATCATGGAATTTAAGGCGAAAAAATAATT